CTCCCTATTTATAATGAGACTACTTGCCTACTAAGTAATTCTCAAAATAACTAACATAATCTTCAACAAGATATATTTGACTTTCTGTCGAATACTGTTAATACAGACTCTATTCGACTTCGTCGAACACACACTACTTCGACTCTGTCAAATGAACGGGACCTTGCAGAAATATATGGCGTTTGTGAAGAAGGATTTTACCTATTTCCTTCATATTGTGAAAAAATAAAGAAAACAAATCCTGGAAGTGTTGCAGAAGTGTTTACCACTTGTGCAGATAACCATTTTTAGAGAATTTGTGTTTCCTTTTATGCATCAATGCATGGTTTTGTTAAGGGTTGTTTGCTTATTGTTGCTCTTTATGGAATTCAGCTGAAAAGCAAATACCTTAGAAACTTTTGTTGATGTTGATGGTGGGTTGTTTTCACTTGCTTTCGTCATTGTCGATGTAGAAAATAATGAAATTTGGGCATGGTTCCTATCTGAGTTGCATAAGGAACTAGAGGTGAATATTGAATCATTTGAATGCATGCTACAAATTATATTTTTATCAAATGGGCAAAAGGGTATTGTGAATGCAATAAGAAGGAAGTTTCTAAAATCTTCTTATGCATTTTGTGTGCGTTACTTAAGTGAGAGCATCGACAAAGAGTTCAAGAACTCTAGGCTTATCCATCTTCTATCGAACGATGCATATGCTACTACAACTATTGCACTAAGAAAAATGGCTGAAATAAAAAAGGTCTCTCCCAAAGCCGCCAATTGGTTATAATAATTTCATCCTTTCCAATGGGCTCTAGCATATTTCGAAGGGATAATATATGGTCATTTTTCCTCTAATATCAAAGAGTTCAATAAAAGAGATTTCTTAAGCACCTCATGTATTACTAGAGCACCACGTGAAAAAACACAAATGCTCCCCGTTTTTGAAGATGCGTCTTTGGACGCACCCTGAACCAATAGAATTCTAACATAACATTAAAAAAACTAAATAGATGCATCTTCGTAAATATTACGGAGATGCATCTCTGAACGGTATTTGTTCTTATACGCGCCAAAATTCTTCTCTTTCCTCACTTTAAACATTTCTCAAACTTTCTCAACTCACATTCTTTCAAAATCAATCAACCAAGTTCAAATCTTCTTCCATCAACATCAAGTACACTAAAGAGATCATTCAACACTAAAGTAAACTCTCAATTTGTAAGTTTTTTATTTTTGTAAACTTTTTTTAGTTTTTGTATAAATTAGTAGAAATTGATGACTAAGTTAAGAAATAGATAGTTTTTGCATGATTGATAGTTTATACATACTGAAAAATGTGTTTGATGGTTAAAAATAACAATCAATGCATTATTTTTGGGGGTTTAGTGGTCTGCATTACCACCATTGGTGAAGCTGAAGTTGCAGGAAATTCCGGAGATGCATCTTTGAAATTTTTCAATGTTTGGATTCCTAGGAACCGGAGATGCATCTCCGTAATTTATCTGTCTGTTTTTTTTTTCTTTTCTTGCTTGTAGTAATTGTGTGACATTTGTCTGTTTACTTACAGGCATTATGACTAATAAAGACGAGAGACTGAGGCACGAGAGGATTGCACAGCATGCATCTGTCCAGAGGGAAAAAATTCAGGTTTTTGAGGCTCATGTTCCCTCTAGCCCGGTTCAGGCGGAGGCGTCGACTTCTAGGGCACATATATTTCCACCTTTTTATTCCCTTAGGAGACGGGTGTAACCTACTGACGCATCATTACCGTCATCTTTCCGTAGGCGGTAAGTTTCACATATTCAAGCGCCAGAGGTACCCGAGTCACCACGAGTACCTAAGGCACTAGTGCCACCCCAGGGACGGGAGGCACCTCATGTTGATGAGGCAGTGCCACCACCTCAGGCTAATAAGTTAGTGTCATCTCAAGCTGCTAAGGCTGATGAGTAAGTGTCACCTCAGGTATTTTTAAGGGACCTTATAGAGTTGTCATTTCTGCCTCTTTACCCGGATCATAATTCCATACATATATGGGACAAAGAGGTAAAATTAGTTAGATTCATTCTTTTTAAATTGCATTTATTGTTATATTACAAGTTTCTGATATGGATTTATTTTTCTACAAAACCATGATCCGTTGAAATTCATTAACCATGGGTGGAAGATTATTGGCTTGCCTTAGCCTACTGACGAGTGGTTTCAGGATGCTTTGCCCCTATCTGGGATGAAGGACTTGTGCAAGACCTATTATGTTACGATCAACCACAATATGCTTAATGCATTCGTGGATAGATGGCACATTGAGACGTCATCATTTCATCCACCTGGTGAGATGTCTATCACACTCGACAACGTGTCATGTTTTTTGTATCTTCCAATTAGAGAGAAACTTCTAGATCATGGGAGGATTAGAAAATATGAGGTACTCGAGTTGATGGTAGACTATCTGAGAGTTGACCTATAGGCTTCCATGAGAGAGAGATGGAAAAAACCAGATGGGCTCATGCTAGGTTTGAATTTCTGAAAAAAGTATATACAAATGAGCTCCTTAGAATAGAGCAAGCAAGAGGTTATGACGAGCAGATGGGGCCGCATAGATTGTATGCTATGTGAGCCTACCTATTATATTTGGTTGGCACGCTATTTTTGTGGACAAGAGTGTCGCTTATGTGGATGTCGTCTACCTATGATACTTCGAGCAGATCCATGAGTACAACTGGGAGGCTGCTTATTTGGTCTACTTGTACTCTAAGTTATCAGATGGTTGTAGGTGGAAGAAGAATCAGGTGACAGGCAGCATCACACTACTGACGATAATATTTATTGGTCTTTTAGTGTTTGCGTATCATTTCATTACATTTTTGCAATGCCCTTACTGATAATTCGTGTGTTCAGACACTTTTTCAGGCTTAGATCCTCTAATACTTCCAGCGCATTTGCGATTAGTCGTGTTACGGAGTTATACTGAGGATATGTCGCGTGCTTCTGCATTTTCCCCGCTCAGAGGGAACCAGGAAACAAAGTGGTTTCAAGTGTATCTTGACCACTTGGTTGTCGAGGATATGCACTTTAACAGCTATGTCGATCAATATAAGATGCTGCCAATTGACGACATAATATTATACTCAGGATGGTTGGCTTGCAGTTCACGTCACACATTTCCTCATCTACATGAGTGCATCATGCGGTAGTTCAACTACACTCAGACTATTTCTAGACACCCTGTTGTCTCTGCTTCTCTTGCTATGACACGTAGAGATATGGATGATATGTTTGATGCTTATCTTAGTCATTTGGTACCAGAGGAGGCACAGAGTATCATAGTTGAGAGCGATTGGAGCTATGTTGACGGGTACATCAGGTGGTTCTTCAGGGTGTCACATTTGTATATGGTGTTGGCTGCTCTAAGAGATCCACCGAATCATGTTCATCATGAGATACTAGAGAAGGAGAAAGCATAGTTAGATCACGCTCACAATGTCTTGCATAGATGTCGCTGCATTATGGAGATTACGCAGGCAGACATTGATAGAGGTATCTTTTCTGATAGTTCTGAGGTGAGACATGTCCTATATGTCATTATGGCGGAGGCACGAGAGACACCGATGTACCAGAGACAACATAGGAGGACGAGGATAGAGGAGGCAGAGGAGCTAGATATTGACATTCACAGTAGTTGATAGTATTTGTATTTTGGATTTATTATCGATTGTATTTTATTTTGACTTATTTCGACTATATTGTATATTTTGACTTCATTGTGTATCGGCTGGTAACTTATTTTGACCATCTCAATTTATGTCATTTTTTTGCATATCAATTGTATTGTTTAATGCTCATCACATAAGAATGGTCTTAATATTTATAAATCGTCATTTTCATCTGTGTAACCATAAAACTAACTTAACTTGCATTTTAGCCATTTACAAATATGCATTTTCGTAAATCTTAAACTAATATGAATTTCTAGAACAATAAACGTGTAAAATAGGTCTTTCAGAGAAGGATGTATGAGATGTGTTTTAAAATGCTGCAAAGATGCATCTACTAATCAGTTAAAGTGTTAACTTAAAACAATGTGTCCGAAGATGTATCTTTGAAATCTGAAAACATTTAAATTTTTCATAGGATGTTTTTCCACTCTCATATAATGGAGTAGGAAATTCCCTCAATAAATGGATTCTTGAAGCCCGGGAGTTGCCAATTACCCAAGTGATTGAACGGATTCATAGCTAACTTAAAAGCTAAGTTTGATGACCGGTGTTTGAAAAGCAGTTAACGGTGTTCTGTACTTCCTCCATCTGCAGAGAGGCAAATGGTCAACGCCATTAATCATGCATCCACATATCAAGTCCTTAGATCAGACGAGGTAGAGTTTGAGATTATTTCAGCTGATCGATCTGATATTGTAAATATTGGCGGTCATAGCTGTTTCTGCCGTGATTGGCAGCTATACGGGATACCTTGTTCCCCCGTCGTTGCTGCTCTTATCTCAAGTCGTAAGGTTACCACTGCAAGTTACAGGGATATACTTATGCAGAGGTGTTACACACCATCCCAGAAAAAATTGATGGAGGAAAACAGATGAATCTTTCTTGGATAATGATATCAAAGTTGTGCAGCCACCAAAGTTTGATTCCGATGTAATCAAACTGGACATTACAAGACAACATGCAAAGCAGAGATTATTAGTAGTATACAACAACAGTCTTAGTTGTCTGATTTTGTACTCCATAGTAGTTTAACTAAAGATCGAGTCTCTACTAATTACTATCTAAAGAACTCATGTTTATGCAACACATGAGCCTTTTAGCGGAAAATCGTTGAATTGCTTCATCTTGACAGTTATCAATAGAAGCATACAAGATGTGGTTTGGTGCATTCCAGTTGCATGATACAATAATAAAACTGAAAATGACACCACACTGCTATCCAGTCTCAAGAACATAGTCTAAATTTTATTCCAAGGAAAATTATTCAAAAGACATCATCCAATTGAGATATTCTAAATATCATCACTTGTATAGCTGCTTGAATCTTCTGCAGGCCTCCAAGACATTTTCCCTGTGACCAAAAGCACTGACCCTGACAAAACCTTCACCGCCAGGTCCAAAACCACTCCCGGGAGTTGTAACCACATGAGTCTTCTCGAGAATCTCACTGAACACATCCCATGAACTTTGGCCTGGGAAGTGGACCCACACATACGGTGCATTTTTCCCTCCATACACTTTAAACCCAAGAGAATCAAATGTCTCCATTATTATGTTGGTATTTTCTTTGTAGTATCCAATTACACCGCGCATAGCCTGCATTCAAATGCATCAAAGCCTATTATGTAACTCGTTCATTGAAAAACCCATAACTTGATCAAATATTAAATCAAAAGAACCAACCTTAAGACCATCTGGTGAAAGGCATGCAAGACCACCAGCCTGAGAAATATTTGATGCACCATTGAAACAAGTACATACGATACGGTTGAAGTCCTTGGCAACAGGAAATCCATCAGAAAACAGTAATTCTTTTGGAACCACAGTCCAACCCAATCGGACACCTGTGAATCCAGCATACTTGCTAAATGATGAAGTTTCAATGGCAACCTGCAAAAGGCCATAACATGTCACTCACAGTCGTATTTGAAGGAATTCATCAAGCATCAAAAGCAGACTCCTGAGACTAATTATAATGAAAACTTGTCCAACAATTCCCTAGATGGTAAGTCTGTTTATTGTTATTATTTCATTGTTTATGTTACAAAAATTCCCATAGTTGTAATTTAGAGATTAACCATCCAAACTATATCTAGAAAAGTATAAATCACATAAGCAAGTTGACAAACAGTTTCCAAAATAATAGCACACTCAAATGCTAAGAATCATATCATAGACTGACTACTGACCTCTTTGGCTCCAGGAATTTCAAAGATGGTGCGTGGGTTGTCACCAGTCATATACATAGCATATGCTGAATCATGTATTATAATAGATCCATTGTCCTTAGCATACTGAACTAGTTGGACCAGTTGTTCCCTCGTTGCTGCAGCACCAGTAGGATTGTTTGGAGAACAGAAAAATATTATATCCGGTCGAGAAAGAGAAGATAAATCAGGGAAGAAACCGTTTTCCGGATTACACCTCATATATTCAATGTTCGCAAACTTCTGAACATCCTTCTGGAACAAACCAGTCTGACCCATAATTACACTCGAGTCTACATAGGCCTGCGTATAAAACATCAGTTATTACATAGAAGCTACAAGAAAAAAACGGCCATTTAAGTGTTCCTTCACTTTCCTAATTTTAGGTATTATTCCAATCATATTGATATCATTTACTAAAGAACTCAATATAGCTTTGCACAGCTCCGACTAATGTAAATTTCTGGGTTTTACACATGTTTAGATGTCACTTTTTCATGTAATGAACAGTCTTTGACAGGACTCTTTTTTTTAATTAAACAAAATCTACAACTCAACCATCTAACCATTTCTATTACATCAAGGCCACTATTATTGGTATATAGTAACATAATTGAATGTTCAAGCAAATGATGAAAAGATATAAACAAGGGCATAGATATGAATTACCGGGTATGATGGGTCCTGCACGGCTATTTTCACATTTGAACCAAAGACAATCTGCCACGAAATGAAAAATAAAAAATAAAAAATTAGTTACATTACCCAACTATCTTGCCACACCATCCTCGTCACCAAAAAGGAGGGTATTTGAAATCAAATAACAGTAAGTGGACTGGGAGAAGAACACAATAGGTAGAATAGGTGACTTGAGAAGAACATAATCTATTTTTAAATACAAAATGAACCTGGAGACGAGATATATCACACTTTGCTCCATCTGAGACAAATATATCATCATCTTCTATGCCAAGATCAGGGTAAAATGTTGAAGCAATTGCACTTCTTAGTGGCTGCATAGATTAGGAACATCTCTTAATCTTCCAAGTATCATTGACTTATGTAAAAAGATGGCAGCAAAAAGCTTTAAAAAATACATGCTTATACTATAAAAAAAATAGCAATTACTAATGCTATATGTTGCAATATCAATCATTGCCATTTGCAGGGACTGAACTTTGGCAGTTGGAACCCCTAATCACTTACACCTCTGAAAAATGTGTGTCTGTGTCGAAAATTTGCACCGACACTTGTGATTATGTTTAATTTATTTATTTTTTAAAATTATTACTGGTGTCGTTGTGTCAGTGCCGGGGTCGTGTTCAGGGTGCCCGTGTTTCATAGCCCCTCATTGCTTATGAATTATTACATAGAATATGTTTTATTGTTATCCCAATGCCTTGGAATATAAAATATATATTGATGAAAGAAAACCATAAAATGATTTACAAAGCTACAAGTGTCATTCCAAACCCATACTAACTTGGGGGAAAAAAAACCTCCTGTATGACTTACAAGTAAAGAAAAGTGATAACAATGCACAATAGTCAAACTTATAGAGTAAATGGAGTCAAATAAAAGGAGAGGTTATTAAAAGTTTATTCATTAAGTGTCTAAGAGGGATCAAGAAAATCGCAATATAAAAAAATAACACTTATTATTCACTTAAAACTGCACTGAACTGTATTTAAGATGGATACCAGGTAGTGATTGTTTTGCTAGAAAAATTATAAATAAAATAAACAATCAGCAAGGTTGGAAAACTGTATACTAGCATTGAGTTTGACATGTGAGAGAGAACAGTAGAATGTGGATGGAAAGATACATGAATGAAAAATGGAGAAAATGATGCAAAACCTCTTACAGATATGACATACCTTTTCACCCTGTTCAGCTCCATAACCACTATATCCTTCCAATGTTGACAATGCAAGTGATTTCTGAATAATTGAAAGAAAAAAAAAACATCAAATGCCCAGTTAACAAAAGGTGGAGCACTAGAATCAATCAATTGAATTAACAAAGTAGTATTTTATAGTTTACAATTCTTTACACACACCCCTACAAAATATTACATCTTCACTACCAATAAGATGACAACACTACAGCTCTCGGGGCCAAAACAATAAGGCATCAGAAGCAGTACTATAACGAAATTCACCAATAAAAAAAGAGAGAAACAACAGATTATTTTCTACTGTTGAAAGTGCAAACGTGAAAGATGCATCAGCTTCACTAACATCGAAGTTCTACCTTTGCCAATGCAGAACTTATGATTTCAGGAATGGGTTCAGTAGTATCACCAATCCCAAGGCTTATTATTTTTGCATCGGGGTACTTCAGCAAGTGTGCAGACTTTCTTCTACCAATCTAAGTTTTTTGCAATAAAATGGAAAAACAAAATAAGGTCAGTGAAAGAGTAAGGAAGATATTAACCAGAGAATGAAGAGAAAGACCAAAAGCAGATAGATCAAGTAACATCACATACCTCGGGAAAGAGATAACCAGCTTGAAGTTTACCCATGTTTTCATTGCGAGAGACCCTTGTCTTGTAGGCTTCAAAACAAAAAAGGGAATGAAAAAAACAATGCAATCTTGCTAAAAAATTAGATCTGTAATTCAATGAAGCAACTACCATGATCATTTCCAAGACTAATAAGCCAATGAAGCAAGCCAGCAACACTTTCAAAATACAATCAAATAAATACTCAAACAGCCTTGAAGTTGCAACCTATACAGAAAATCATTTGAGGAACTTGCCAACTAAAGAAGTTTTTTTTTTTTAAATTGCAAATGATGAACCATAGCCGAGTTTGTCACAGATTAAAAAAATGATTTTGATATTCAATAATTTGGAAATTGTTAAGAAAATCATAAGCTATTTTATATTAGTTGACCATAATGAAAAGCACTTTTTTTTGGAAAAAACCATCTGCCGAAAATGATTATGAAGCTGCTCAAACCATAATATTGCTCAATCACAAGTAAAAATTCATGAATCAAAATACCCAAAATACAAAAGAGAAGAGTACGAACCAGTCTCAACTTCTTGGGGTGTAGCGATGCATTTACAAATGCTGGGGCTCTTAGACTGCAAAGATACCTGACTACTCCTGCAGTAACAAAAAAAAATCACCCCAAACAAATCAAAATACAAAATTGCATAGGGTAAACAGAAAAAAGATACATTTTTGCAAGAATAGAGTTAAAAAAAAATATGGAATTTTGAAGAGATAGAAAGAGAGTTAAAAGAAATGAAATGGGGTTACCTGGAGTTGAAATTGGTTGGAGCTAAGAAAGTAGAGGAAGAAGAAGAGAGTGAAAGGGTGAGGTTTTGGGTTAAAGACATTTTGGAAGGGAAAAGAGAGAGTGAGTGAGAATGAGAATGTAGTGTGGAGAAGATTCAATGCAACTTTAAGCATAAAGTATAAACCCTAACAAAGACATAAACAACCCTTTAATATTAATATTAACCACTCGTAATATAATGTTGTTACAATTTATGTACAATTTATTTATTATTGAGTTTAATGGATATCCACCGATATTGTAAACTATTTTTATACCGTTTGTTTAATAAAAATTTATTAATTTATTTTGTTTTATCAATAACTTAAAATTTACAGTGTGATGTGATGAAATATATAATGGTGATTAATTGATCATATAAAAAAATTTACACTCAATGAGTATTAATTAAATTCATGTTTATTTGAAAAAACTAATAAATATATTAAATTACTTGTACTATTATTACTTGACATAATGACAGGAATGGATCTCAGCTTATTGAAAGGAGGCTTGGCAAAGTCATCTGTGATAAAAAAAAACGGATTAACTTTTGTAGTAGCACATCTGTTTCAACTTTTACGCACAAATCAGATCATTTCTCAATCCTTATGGTGTTTGACTATCGAGCTGTCAAGGTGATCCCAAACTTCAAATTTCAAAATATGTGGTCAGAGCATCCTGATTGTATTAATGTGATAAAAAAATTGTTGGAATGCTAAGTTCTTTGGTTGCCCCATGTTTATCCTATCTCAAAAACTCAAGCCTTTTAAGAGTAAGCTCAAGTTTTGGAACAAAAATACTTTTGGAAATGTCCATGACTTGCTTAGGAAAGCTACAATAACATTAGATGATGTTCAAGCTCAAATACAAAGGGAAGGTCAATCAGATGAGCTAATGGGCAAAGAGCAAAAGGCTTAAATTAATTTGGAGACTGTCTAAAATCTAGAGGATTTGTTTTGGAAGGAAAAAGCTAAGCTCTAGTGGCACCATGAAGGAGACAGAAACACTGCCTATTTTCATAGGATTGCTAAGGTTAGAAAGTGCACAAAGTTAATCTCTTCAATTCAGCATGAGGAGGAGATTATAACTGACCCAAGTTTCATTTCTAATTTAGTCCTAGACCATTTTGAGAAGTTGTTTAATATCAATTGTGATGTTATGGATAATGGGCTTGTGGAAGAGGTAATTCATAAGCTTGTTACTGATCAATGAAATATCCTTCTTTCTGTTATCCCTAATCCTGCAAAAATTAAAAATGCAGTGTTCTCCTTGAACAAGGATGGTTCTCTAGGGCCAGATGGATTTGGGGGACTTTTTTTCAGCAATATTGGGAAATAATCAAAGAAGATGTTGTCAATGGAACTATTCAATTTTTTTTCAATTGGATAGCTACTCCCTAATTGAAGTTCTAAATCAATAATTCTCATCCCTAAATGTTCCAATGCCATCATGGTAGACTAGTTCAAACTTATAGCATTGGCTAATTTCAAATTTAAAATCCTTTCCAAAAGTTTGGCTGATAGGCTAGCTTCAATCATGACCAACATCATTTTCAATGAACAAAAAGAATTTATCAGAGGAAGGTCCATTGCTAATTGCATCTGTTTGAAATCTGAAGCCATTAATTTGCTTCATAACAAGTCTTTTGGAGGTAATCTTGTTGTCAAAATATATATCAAAAAAGCCTTTGACACTTTGGACTGGGACTTTTTTATTCTTGTCTTGCACAAATTTGGTTTCTCTGACAAATTATGTTCTTGGATCAATGTCATACTACACTCAATCATACTTTTTATATCTATCAATAGGGTCTATGCATGTTACTTTGAGTGTAAAAGAGGGGTCAGGCAAGGGGATACTCTTTCTCCTCTCCTCTTCTGCATAGCTGAAGATATTCTTAGTAGGGTCATTTCTAAGCTAGTGGATTCTGGCAAGCTTGATCTTATAAAAAGGCCTAGTAATTTTGTAGTTCCTTGCCATGCTCTCTATGCAGATGACATCATGTTGTTTTTCAAAGCCAAAAGCTCCAATGTTGAAGTCTTAAAAAAAAATTTCTAAGGTATGATCAGTGTTCTGGTCAGCAGGTTAATCCCAACAAGTCAACTATTTTTTGTGGCTCCATGCCTCATCAAAGACTCTAAAATTTCACTCAATCTCTGGGTTTCTTGGAAAGGAAACTTCCTTTTAACTACCTTGGGTTTCTTGGGAGACCAAAGGCTACTCATTTTCAAACAATTGTGGACAAAATCAAAACCAAGCTATCTAGGTGGAAAGCCTCTATCCTCAACATGGTTGGTAGAGTTCAAGTCATCAAGAGTGTCATTTATAGCATGCTTACATACAACCTTCTAATCTAGTATTGGCATGCTAGTCTTCTTAAAGAGTTAGAGAAAAGCATAAGAAACTTTGCTTGGGGTTATGATATTAACAAAAGAAAACTTATAACAGTAGCTTGGCACAAATTTTGCAAACCTGTGTTGGAAGGTGGCCTTGGCATTAGGTATTTGGCCAAAGTTAATGAAGATGCAAATCTCAAGCTTTGCTGGGAGTTGTTTAACTCTCCAAACCAGTGGGCTTAGCTTCTTAGGAAGAGAGTTCTAAGGAAGAATCGACACATTTTGTATCACATCTTTGTTAGCTCACAAATTTGACGCCCTCATTAAATAAAAAGGACTGGGGGAAATATTAAATTGTCAATGGAATATGAAAGAAACCTTGGATTGGAGAAAACCTTCGAGTGGTTGAAATGTTAAAGTATTTGGGACTTAGAAAATATTTCTAACATTAAAGAGACCACCTTCGACCGAGACTGCTGGCCAAATATTAGTGGAATTTGAAATTCAAATAAAGGAGGGAGTAGTTATGCTTTCTCATGGTTAAACAAGACAAGTGGCGTACATCCAGTGAACAACTACATGCGGCGTGACATTTGTCATGGGCTAGTCATTTTAGGAGGTTAATGGCGGTTAATTGTATTATTATAAATAGGAGTTCTAGCAGTGGAATTCAGTGTGTTGTAATTTACTATTGTACAAGTTACTCCAAAATTTATTCAAAGTATCCGAGTGTAGAGAAAAGAGTTCTAGGAGAATGTACGTCATGTAAAAACACCATTTCTACATTTTAATTAAACTTATTTTGCTTTATCTTAAAGAGTTTATCTTTACTTCCTTGCAATTTACATCTTCCTGACATTATGCTTTACTTTGTTTATGTTTTTAAATGTTTTTTACTTTGTTTTCTACAAATTCATGTCCTTTCATTTCAGTCGAACCTCACCTTTACATTAACTTTTTTTTCAAAAACATTGTCGAAGTGTTCAGTTTTAGGTAGTTTCTTTCAAGTAAAATTTAGCACATGTCCTAGGATCAATCTGATCGATCCTGTGAGTCACCAAAGTTAGATTTGGAAGATCAACGGTTGTTTTCCAATTTTCACGAGAAACAATCTTTTCCTCCATATGGACAAGCATAAAAGGATGTTTTCAAATCTTGGAAGACAACTCTTGTTGGAATCTTAGAGATGGCAACAGGATTAAATTCTGGACTGATTCTTGGTGTGGAGCTCATTTGGTTAAGTAGATTCAAATCTCTCCCTTTGCTCATGAAAAGCTTAATTCAACAGTGGCTGATTTTCTATCCAAATTTAATTGGAAAGTTCCTCCAGGTAGGACAGTTTGGTTCCCTAACCTCTTTAATATCATTAACCAAATTCACATTCCTTTATCCCCTTTTGTTGATGAACTTTGATGGATCCATTCTAAGGATGGATCTCTATCTCTCAAAGATGTCTACTTATTTCTATATCATCCTAGTCCTAAGTATGATTGGGCCAAGCATATTTTGAATCCTTGCGTTCCCCCTGCAAACTCAATGTTTGTATGGAAACTTATCCTTTCCGAAGTTCATACTAATGACCTCCTTGCTAGTAGAGGTTGGTTGTTGTTCCCTTCAAGATGTGAGTTGTGTGACCTCATATCATATTTTTTTTTCCAACACAGATGTTCTCTCTCCATTTGGAATTGGTTGTCAAATATTATTCAACAAGGTTTTAATTTTAACTTCAATGAGATCTGGGATGTTTGAAATATGTCTTAGTCCAAGCATAGCAAAGTTTTCCTCCAAACTACCATCATAAACTTCTTTTATACCATTTAGTTATATAGGAATGAGAAGAAATTTCAGAACAGACTCATCCCTTAGAAATTTGCCCTAAATATCATCATTTTCAATGTCAATTTATCAGGTAATTAATTTCTAGCCAACACTTCTTGTAGTATGAGAGACTTTATAATTCTTAAAGCATTTAGAATTATAGTGCATCCCCCTAAGGCTTCCAGAATTATTGAGGTTATTTGGAAACCTCCTCTTAGGTCTTGGATCAAGTGCAATACGAGTGGTCCTTCCATAGGGATACCTGCTCAGGCTGCTTGTGAAGGATTATCTAGAGATCACTCAGTTGCCTTACTTGGTTGTTTTGCTGAGAACCTTGGTGAAAATCAAGAAATTGTTGCAGAATTCGTGATAGTCATCAGGGATATTAAGTTGGTTGTTGAGAAAAGGTGGAACCACTTGTGGATTGAAACAAATTCTTTCTTGGTTTCTAGAGCTATTAACAACCCTGCTCTAGTTCCTTGGTCTTTAAAGAATAGATGGTTGAAATGTTTGTGTAGAACTCTTAGTATGTCGGTTATACTTTCGCATATTTCTAGGGAAGGCAATCATTGCGTAGACAAATTAGCTTCATTAGGCCTTACCATCTGAGGTTTCATTTGGTGGAATGAAGCTCTTGTATCTGTTTTTTATGATATGGTTCGTAATAGACTAGGACTTTTGTATTTTCGTTACTGTCTTTTTTAGAGGGTTTTGTTTTATGTCCCCCCTCTCTTTTTGTATTCTTCTCCTTTTTATTTATATATTTTCTTTTTTATTAATAAAAAAAGAAAGAATAATTTTTTTTTTATATTTTAAAATTGAATAATTGGTCTGATAGCACTTTAATGAGGTGAGAGGTCTTTGGTCAATCAAAGAGATTTTATATAGACACCTCCCGATTACA